AATTCCCCAAATTCCATCGCATTGAGCCGTGGCAGTTAAAGCGCGTTATTTCTGCAGTGCAGATGCAGCCTTGGGGGGGGAAATTTATTTAAGAGGGACGAAAAGAAAAACACAAGGTCTCTATTTTAGGTATCTGGTTTGTGGAGGAATCTACCTTTTCTGATGCAGTGGGCAAAATCCAACTACTAGCCCAAACTAGAGCAGGCCCACGGAATCCATAGGGTTTACTTACTCGTTGCCCTGTCCTCCAGTGGTCGATTTCTTGGGTCGGCCCACTTCGGACTAGCGACTAGATTTAGGCCACAGAGGATTGTCTTTGGAAGGAGAGCAGTCACAGCCATTCCTAAGAAAAAGGAAGGGATCCGACTGTGAGGACTGAATGTTGGACTGGGACTCCGGGGGAGCCGGGTTCGAATCTCGCTGGACCAGGAAAGCCACACTGACTGGTTGAGGGCAGTTCAGACTCTCTCAGCCTTAGAGGAAAGCAGTGGCAAACCTCCTGCTAAGGAAACCTTACGACAGGGTCAATTTTAAGGCACATAACAACAATAACAATAGTGTTGGTCGGGGAAACATGTGAAAAACAAAGGATAATAACCAGAACTGAGACTAACATCTGGAATCCTTCCCAATCTGTAGAAGTAAATTTGCCACACCGTTTAAACAGGCGGTTTGCCATGCCCTCCCAATACACACACAATTGGGAAGTGTTGTAACTCAGAACATTTACTTTCTTTTTAACATGCAAAAAGTCCCAGATCCCTGGCTGCCTCTGCTAAGGAAGACTGGGAAAGCCCTTGGCTTGAAATCTTGGGTTTCCACAACCGATAGACAACATGCAACAAGACCAAGCAGAGAGTGAAATGAATGTAAGGTGGCTTTGTAGGTTTTTCAAATTTAGAAGGGTTTTTTCGGCTGGGAAGATAAGACAGGGATGAAATATAGACCTGAGGTTATGTTCTCTTCCTGTCATTTCCCCCCTCCTCCACTTCCTCTGCAATAATAATAATAATAATAATAATAGTCACTAGAGAAAAAGTTGTCAGCTATCTTGCACTGCATGATTCTTTGGAGATCCGTGTAAACGAACACCCAGTTATTCTGATGGATTCGAGAGCTACTTATCCAGGTCTAATTTCTTTAGAACCAACCCTTGTAACTGAGATCATCGTAGCAACCACCACCAGGCCTCTCCTTGGAGAAAGAAGAGAGGCCTAAGGAAAGCAACGGAGTGAAAACCAAGGCCAGAGAAAGAGAGAAGGAAGGACAAGGGAGAGGGAACCTCAGAGAGAGGCTGAGGGTGAAAGAGAGTGGAGGAAAGGAAATCTGGAGTGTTACAAGAAATATACAGTATATATTTCTAGATAGATAGATAGACTGAGAGAGAGAGAGATGGATAGATCTAACTAACAAGAAATATAGATAGATAGATAGATAGATAGATAGATAGATGATAGATAGATAGATATTATCTAGATAGATAGATAGATCTACCAAGATATGTATTTCTTGGTAGATAGATCTATCAATCTGTCTGTATAAAAATATATGAAGATGCCAGCCACAGATGCTAGTGAAACGTCAGAAAGAAACTCTTCTAGAACATTGCCACACAGCCCGAAAAACCCTCTCTCTCTCTCTCTCTCTCTCTCTCTCTCTATATATATATATATATATATTGGTAGATCTATCTACATTTCTTGGTAGATCTATCTATTAATCTATCTATCTTGGTAGATCTATCTATCTATCTATCTATCTATCTATGTGCCTACCAAGAAATATATATATATATATTTCTTGAAACACTCCAGATTTCCTTTCATATATATAT